GGTTTACGGTAAATTTGGAAATCGAGTTTGTTATTAACTCTAGTGATTGTTAAATCGAGAAAATTGAGGGATTGGTTGGACTCCAATTCTAATTTGAATTTAATTTTGGGGTGGAAAGTGTTAAGTTTATTAACAAAAATATTTAATTGACGAATAGTACCCGTCCAACAGATAATTATGTCGTCTACGTATCTATAATAAAACAGAATGTTGGGCTCGCCCACCACATATTTACATTCAAAGTAGTCCATAAATACTTCCGCCATTAGAGGACTCAATGGTGATCCCATTGCTAACCCCTCCTTTTGGCGAAAATATTCACTATTAAAACAAAAATAATTTTGTTGCATGCAAATACGTGTGAGGTCAAGAAGGTCATGCATTTCTCCAGGGTGTAAACGTTGTCTCTCCAAATGGTTCCCCAAAATACGAAGGCACTCTTCAAATGGAATATTTGTAAATAAACTGTCAACATCCAATGATAATAATTTTGAATTGGGAGGAATGTTGACATTTTTTATTTTTTCAATTAAATTTAAACTATTTTTTAAGCTATATTTTGGTGAAAAAGAAGACTTAATTTTTAATAAGTTATTGAGATGTTTAGCCACATCGTATGTTGGGGCACCAATGTAAGAGACAACGGGGCGAATTGGGATGTTATCTTTATGAGTTTTGGGTAAGCCATACAAAAAAGGAGAACGCGGGTTCATAGGGATTTTATATTTAAACTGATCTGGAGAAATACATGACATGTTATTAATAGCATTCTTCAACTCAACGGTAAATTTTTTGGTGGGGTCGGAACTAAGACGTTCGAAATCCTCCCCCTGGATAACGTCGTTAACCTTCTGGTGGTAAGCAGTTTTATCTAAAATGACTACAGTATTGCCTTTATCGGCTTTTGTAATTATTAAATTATCTTGATTAATTTTGGTTTGCAATGACCGATATATTTGTAATTCAGAATTATTTTTAGGAAATGAGGTAGATGAAACTTTTTTAATCTGAACTGCCACCTGATGTTTAACGGCGCTATCCACTTTACTTCTAACACAAGCCATTTCTGAATCCACCACCAAAGTTTCGAGCGATTTCTGGGATAACCGTGGTCTGATGTTATATTTTAAGCCTTTTTCTAATAAAGAGATCTCCGAAGAGGAAAATTGGGTATTCGTATAATTTTTAACGCGTGGATAAAAAGTATGAATCGTATCTAAATCATTATTATCTGGATGATTAATATTACTATTCCGGTTATCCCGAGATAATCGCTCCAACTTCCTACTCTGTGTTATATATTTATCATGCGCTACTTGGGAGGCGAAGTCCCGGGCTTTGTTATCTAAAATATCAAACTCCACATTGTGTAGTTTGTAACTCAATTCTGAGTACAAAACCTTCAAGTGGAGCTTGATATTGTCCCTAACTGAAAACCAATGTCTACATTCCTCATTCAACCACACCTGTTTGGCCTTCACCAAAGCTAAACTACTTGACCGGCTGTGTGTGTTGGTATGTATATTAATATAATGGGGAAATACTTTTAATTGTTTACACTGTTGATTGAACCAAACGTTTTGAGAAGCTAAGCGATGGAGTTTTGTCAACTTGATGTAAAGTTTTGCCTGCTCAGCTATACCTGCCGACTTAAGATAATTTATAGAATCAGGCGTTACTTTGCGGAAATCCATGACATTAAATGTTAGGGAAAATATTTAGTTTTAATTCCGCGACAAAAATCCAGGCTTGTTGCAGGATGCAATCCCACTCCTATGCAATCATGCATATGCACATGCAGCAAGGGTCCCACCCTCCCGCCCACATGCATATGCACACATACACAAAACGGAAAAACATGCCACGCAATCAAACCTATACTCGACACGTGTTTCGCCCCTCCACAGGGCATCCTCAGGAGATGTTGACTCGACGAGCGCTCGGCTGCGAATGAGCTAGTACGGACGTTCGGGTCTTCTCACCGTCCCCGGCTGGGGGCGTGAGGTCGCGCGATCCAGGCCGATGCCTGTCTCGGCGGTATCGCTCGCTGCCTGCAACAGCAGGCGAGGTCCTTGGAATAGTCGGGCCTCTTGCGGGGCCCGATGTGGTCGTGTCATGTGGGTGGCGCCGTCATGAGCCGCGCTCGAGCCTGGGCAAGCCCGGCGAGCAGCAAGCTGTTGACGGCGCGCGGTCGTGTCCAGTGGTTGGCGCCGCTAGGAGCCGCGCTCGAGCCTGGGCGAGCCCGGCGAGCAGCGAGCTGTCAGCGGCGCGTGGTCGAGTCCGGTGTGGGCGGAGTCTCTACCAGCCGGCCTGACGCGGGCGGGCGGGAGACTCACGCGGCGTCCGATGGGTCGGTCGGTGCGACCAGGTCTCGCGGGAGGCCGAGGCCGTCAGGGGGGCGCCGGTGGTATGGCGCCAGCTCCCGGAGGTGGTCGTGCCGCGACCGATCGGAGCGGTCGAACATTGATGTGCTCAGGCGCTGCACGAAGGCGTCGATGCTCTCTACGCCGAGGTCTCGGGCGATGGTCGCGTTCCGTACGAAGCGCGGGGCGTTGACGATGGTGCGCAGCGTCAGCGACTGCTGCGCACGGAGGCGTTTCTTGTTTGATTCGGACACGAGCGCGTACCATGCCGGGGCGGCGTAGGTGAGCCGTGTCCGAATGTAGGCCTTGTAGATGCCGAGCTTCGCACGGAGCGGCAGCGCCGAGTTGAGCACCGGGCGCAGGAGGTGACGCGCGGCGCGCGCCTGAGCAGCAGCCTGCAGCACGTGGGGCGTCATCGAGAGCGAGCGGTCGATCTTGACGCCGAGGTATTTAACGCTCGGCGCCCACTGGACCTGCTCACCCATCAGCGTCATGGGTGTCGGCTTCATGATCCCCACGGCGAGTGCTTGTGTCTTGGCCACGTTCACAGCCAGTCTCCACTTCTCCAGCCATTCAGGGAGTGCATCTAGGGCGCGCTGTAGTTTGACTACTGCGTGCCTGGGATTCAGCGACGTCGTGTAGTAGGCGGCGTCGTCGGCGTACAGGGCGAGTTTGACGCCGTCCACGACGGGGATGTCGTCCGTGTACACGCAGTAGCACACGGGAGAGATGCAGCTTCCCTGGGGCACGCCGGCTCTGATGGTCCGCTCGGTCGACAGGGCGCCTTCCACTGCCACTTGGAAGGTTCTGCCGTGCAGGAAGGTGGCCACGATCTTGACTAGTCGTCGAGGAGTAGTAGATGTGGCCAGCTTGCTGAGCAGGCCGGCATGCCAGACGCGGTCGAAGGCCCTCTCCATGTCGAGGAATACTGCCGCGGCGCGCTCACGCTTGTTACGCGCGGCCGCCAGGTCGTGCAGTACCCTCGCGACTTGCAGGGTGGTGGAGTGTTCGGCCCTGAAGCCGAACTGTTCGACGCGTGGCTGGAGGTGGGGTCGCAGGTGCAACAGCAGCAGCTTCTCGAAGAGCTTCGAGACGGTGTCCAGGAGCGTGATGGGGCGATAGCTCCCCGGCAGCAGCGTGTTCTTCCCCTGTTTGGGCAGCATGATTACTCTGCCGAGCTTCCACTTGGAAGGGAAGTGTCCGGTACGGAGGATCCCATTGAACAGCCGCGTCAGGGTCGCGATTCCTCGCGGCGGTAGGCGGCGAAGGGCCTCGTTGGGGATGCCGTCCGGACCGGGTGCCTTGCGTAGTGGGGCTCGCAGAGCCATACGCCGCACCAGGCCAGGGGAGAGCACGACTGGGTCCTCTTCGGGGGAGATCGGCTGCTCCAGGTACTGCGCTACCTGAAGCTCGACGGCTGCTGTGTGTTGCACGTTGCGGGCTGGGTTGGGCTGGAACTGTCTCTCCAGGGAGTCGGCGAAGAGCTCCGCTCGGTCCTCGGCTCGGTAACGGGGTGTGTTGTCACCGGCCAGGAGGGGTCTGATCGGGGCCGGCTTCCCGGAGAGATTGCGGCACAATCGGTGTATGCCCGACCAGTCGTCGCTCACGTGCTCGATGGCGCGTTGCCACGACTCGGCCGCGTGGTTGGCCACGGCGGACGAGATTCTCGCTGCCAGAGCGTTGAGCACGTTCTTCATGGTCGGGCATCGGGTCCTTTGCCATTGCCTGCGGAGTCTCCTCTTCCTCTCGATCATGGCGAGTATGGCGGCTGGGAGAGGTGCTGGCCTCCTCGGTGTCGACACGTTTGACAGTTGAGCCTCGGCGAGTGCGGCCTGGGTGGCCGTGGTGAAGTCGGCGGCGAGGCGGTCGACGTCTGCCGGCGTGTCGACCCGGTAGGACGGTGAGTTCTGCGCCATGTGTGCGGCGAAGGTGCGCCAGTCCCGCCGTGGGCGAGAGGGTAGGGGTCGCAGGCGTTGTGGGATGTCCTCGATAGTCAGACTCACTGGCTGGTGGTCTGACCGGAGATGATCGTCCAGGACGTCACAGCTGACCGTTGCGGTGATGCCTCGCAGGACGGCCAGGTCGATGACGTCGGGCATCAGCTGCCGGTGGCCTGGGTAGTGCGTCGGGGCCTCCGGGCCCAGCACCACGTAGTTGTGGAGCTCTGCATCGTCGAGCAGGCGGCTGCCTTCTCTGGTGTTGGTGTTCGCGTTCCACGCTGTGTGCTTCAGGTTGAAGTCGCCAGCGATGATGGTGGGCAGCGGCGAGTCCAGCAGGGTGTGGACGTCGCTCACTGCGAGGCGGTAGTGTGGCGGCCTGTAGAACGCGAACACCCGGGTCGGCTGTTGGTTGATGCAGATCTCCACGCCCAGCGCGTAGGACGCGCGCAGCGTTGGCACCGGCAGTAGCTGGTGGACGATTCTTCTCCTGACCAGGATTGCCAGCCCTCTGTAGGCAATCCCTGACGGCGAGATGTGGTCCTCCCGGTAGACATAGAAGCCAGCCATCTTCAGCTTGTCCACTGGTTTGAGGTGCGTCTCGTTGATCAGGGCTACATCGGCTTGCCGTTGGTCTAGTAGCAGCTTCAGTAGCCTGGTCTTCTCTGGGGACATCCCGTTGGCGTTCCAGTGTATGATCCTAAGGTGCCGCTGGTCCATCGCAAACGAGGGACTTGATCGCGTCTAGGAGCAGCGGCACTGGATCGCTCCGCTGGGTGACGAGCGCCGTCACGATCCCTTGCAGGATTCGGACGACGTCGTTAATGGTGAGTACCTGTGGCGGAGGTCTCGGCGGGGCTTGCCGTTTCGCCTTGGTTGCGGCGGCGACAGGCGCTTTAGCGGCGGCAGGCGCTTTAGCGGAGGCAGGCGCTTTGGCGGCGGTGGTGTGCGTCACGGAGCGGGCGACGACGGGGGCGGCGGTTGTGGCGGGAGCGGGGGCGGCGGCGGCGGCGGTGGTGGCGGCAGGGGGCGCCTGCTTCGCCTTCCTGCGCCTGCGCCTTGTGCGGCGCTTGCTGCCCGGCTCGTTGGCTGCGGCCATGAGGGAGCCAGGGGCGTCAGACTCACCCTTTGGCTGTGCCGCAGCTGGCTTCGAAGTGGTGGTGGCGGTGGTGCGCGCTACTGTGCCCGCCTTCGGGTTGCGCGTCTCGCGGCGGAACACCGGGCACGATGAGTTGTTCGCCGTGTGGGCGCCTCCGCAGTTCGCGCAGGTCGGCGGCTCTTCCTTGGGGCGGGGGCACTCACTGGCCGGGTGCGCCTCGCCGCATCGCACACAGGCTATGGGCCGGTGGCAGTTATGCGACGAGTGCCGGAACTGTTGGCAGCGGTGGCACTGCGCAGGGCCCTTCTTGCCCCGCCATGCCTCGATCTTGATCCCGGGCATGCAGAGCAACTCCGTTACTCCGTAGATGCCCGGGATGGTGTCTTCGGTGCGCGCCACCTGGGCGTAGAAAAGACACCCAGGTCGTCCCTGGCGCGCACGGATGGGGCGGACGTACTCGGCGTTGTAGCCGCAGTCGCGCAGAGCCTCTTGAATGGCGTCCACTGGCGTCTCCGCAGGCAGCCCTCTGATGGCCACCTTCAGGCTTCGCTCCGCTGGTAGGGAGTAGGAGAACCAGGCTATCCCCTGGGTCCTCTCCAGGTCTGTGAGGTAGGTCTGGATACTCCTATACTCCACGTCGGAGCGTGGCGTGAAGCGCATTCCTTTGCCGAAGGGGCGCGCGTTGGGCGCGTGTCCCAGCCGCTGCCTCAGCGCCGCGAAGTGCTCGACCCAGTTGGGGAGTTTCTCCACGATGAGTGGTGGGTAACGCGCCCTGGGGGCGGGGGCGCTGGACGGCGCGGGCGCGGGGGCGCTTGTCGGCGCGGGTGCGGCGGCGGTTGTCGGCGTGGGTGCGGGGGCGCCGATGTTGCCGGCGGCAGGAGTCTTCGGCGCGGTGGCGCCGGCCGTTGCAGGTGTGGGGGCGCGTGTGCCGGTGGCGGTGGGCGACGCAGCGGCTGCGTACGTCGCCTTTGGCGCGGCCACTTGCTGGGGCGGCGCGAATGGTGGCAGGAGGGGGGGCGGGCGGAAGGGCGGCGAGGTGTAGATGGCCTGCCGCTTGCCCGCCGGCTCCTTGGTCGGCGAGGGAAAGCGTCCCGGCATGCTGTTGTCCGGGGGCGCAGGCAAAACAGGTGCGGCGCGCGGGGGCGCAGCGCTTGGGGGCGCGGGCTGAGTAGGCGCAGTCGCGGGCTGGTGGGGCCTCTTCGAGCGCGGCGGAGCTGTTGAAGTCTTCGACCCCGACGGCGGTTTGTGGCTCGTTTTCGAAGCCGAGGTTGAGGTGGTGGCGTGGGCGCGTGCAGCTTTGGCCGTAGCGTCGGCAGGCTGCGCCAGCGCGGTCCTCAACGGGGACCTTGGAGTAGGCCGAGGGGTTGCGGACGTTGCGGCGGTTGGGTGTGTGACACCCATGTCACGAGCCGCGGTGGTGGGGCGTGGGGGTGCCACGTCCATAGGCTCTGGCGCGCTCGCGGTTCTCGCCGGTGCGGTCCACGAAGGTGGGGCCGTATGTGGCGGCGGCGAGGGCGACGCCGGGGTGTCGGGGGTCGAGGTGGGCGGGGGGAAGAATTCCTCCCCCGCTCCCAGGCTTCCGGAGGCCGTGCGCGACATCGATGCGTCCTCGGGCGCCTCGGACCATCGCTGCACTGCAGCCCGTATGTTGACGCGCTGCGTGGGCCTGTGGTTCTTGGACACGCGCCCCTGTTCCTTCCGGTCCCGGTTGGGTTTGGAGGAGGGGCGCGGTGGTGAAGGCGACGGTGCCCCACTTCCGTGAGGCATGATTGTTGCCGGTGGCTGCCACTTGCTGGCAAGCTGTGCACCGGGTGCGTCAGCAGGACTTGTGCTGCGTAGTGGCGGGTAGTTGTAGTACGTAGCTTACGTAGCTTTGTTATCGGCGGCGACTAGTGCGACGTGTCAGTCGCAGACCCGCGCGGGGGACCCGCCGAGCCGGTACCCGGGGCTAGCCGCTGGTGGCTGACCGGGCACCGGGCGCGACGGAGGGCCTCGCGTGATCGGGCCAACGGCTGAGCACGCGCTGGGGTGGACGAGCCGACCGCGACCGAGCTTCGGGTAGTCTTCACTTTTTGCGGTCCGAGCGGTGAGGTATTTGTTTCTCCTGGAGACTTGTTTCCTCGGCGGCTGCGTGGCGAATCCAGCTGCGTGGCGAATCCATGAATGAGCTAGTACGACAGCTCTCGCCTCTTATATAGTGTCGTGATGACACATAATCGATACAAACGTCTTTGTATCGATTACACAATCGATACAATCGACACAAACGTCATTGTGACGCCTGCATCGACTATGATTTACCTGTAATCACACTTAAAAGAGGGGATGTAATTAAGTTTGTTTGCTCATTCAACAGTGTAAAATTACTATTATTATTATGTTTGGAGATTTCTAACTGCTCCAACACACACAACCGGAAATTTTTATCACAGACATGCAGAATAGTATACGTGTTATTGTCGCTCAAGGAATGGCCGGTGTTAATTAAATGTTTAGCGAAATGTGACTTGTCTGGATGGCCATTCCTGTAAGCGGCAATATGCTCCTTAAATCTAACCTCAAAATTACGGCCTGTCTGACCCACATAGACCCCGTTACATTCGTTGCAAATTAATTTGTAAATACCGGATTTTTTTGAATTTTGTAATTTATCTTTACCGTTACAAAGATTACGTAAGTTGTGATCTGATCGAAAAGTAACGAAAACATTGTGTTTTTTAAGAATATTCGCGATTTTATCAGAAATGGGGCCTATGTAAGACAGACTACCGACATACTTGTTAATTCGTTCGGGGGTACATGCATAAAGTAGTGAGCGAGCCCTGTCATTCTGTTTTTTCTGAATAATATTATCGATGACTTGTTTTGAATACCCGTTTGAAATCGCGATTTGATATAATATTTTAAGTTCTTTGACATAATTATCTGTGGAAAGTGGGACTGACATTAAGCGATGGACATAGCTGCGGAAGGCTGCTAGTTTGTGTTGTGATGGGTGACAAGAAGAAGCGGGAATTGTTGTGTCGGTATGAGTGGGTTTACGGTAAATTTGGAAATCGCATAAATTCTGATAAAATCGCGAATATTCTTAAAAAACACAATGTTTTCGTTACTTTTCGATCAGATCACAACTTACGTAATCTTTGTAACGGTAAAGATAAATTACAAAATTCAAAAAAATCCGGTATTTACAAATTAATTTGCAACGAATGTAACGGGGTCTATGTGGGTCAGACAGGCCGTAATTTTGAGGTTAGATTTAAGGAGCATATTGCCGCTTACAGGAATGGCCATCCAGACAAGTCACATTTCGCTAAACATTTAATTAACACCGGCCATTCCTTGAGCGACAATAACACGTATACTATTCTGCATGTCTGTGATAAAAATTTCCGGTTGTGTGTGTTGGAGCAGTTAGAAATCTCCAAACATAATAATAATAGTAATTTTACACTGTTGAATGAGCAAACAAACTTAATTACATCCCCTCTTTTAAGTGTGATTACAGGTAAATCATAGTCGATGCAGGCGTCACAATGACGTTTGTGTCGATTGTATCGATTGTGTAATCGATACAAAGACGTTTGTATCGATTATGTGTCATCACGACACTATATAAGAGGCGAGAGCTGTCGTACTAGCTCATTCGCAGCCGAGCGCTCGTCGAGTCAACATCTCCTGAGGATGCCCTGTGGAGGGGCGAAACACGTGTCGAGTATAGGTTTGATTGCGTGGCATGTTTTTCCGTTTTGTGTATGTGTGCATATGCATGTGGGCGGGAGGGTGGGACCCTTGCTGCATGTGCATATGCATGATTGCATAGGAGTGGGATTGCATCCTGCAACAAGCCTGGATTTTTGTCGCGGAATTAAAACTAAATATTTTCCCTAACATTTAATGTCATGGATTTCCGCAAAGTAACGCCTGATTCTATAAATTATCTTAAGTCGGCAGGTATAGCTGAGCAGGCAAAACTTTACATCAAGTTGACAAAACTCCATCGCTTAGCTTCTCAAAACGTTTGGTTCAATCAACAGTGTAAACAATTAAAAGTATTTCCCCATTATATTAATATACATACCAACACACACAGCCGGTCAAGTAGTTTAGCTTTGGTGAAGGCCAAACAGGTGTGGTTGAATGAGGAATGTAGACATTGGTTTTCAGTTAGGGACAATATCAAGCTCCACTTGAAGGTTTTGTACTCAGAATTGAGTTACAAACTACACAATGTGGAGTTTGATATTTTAGATAACAAAGCCCGGGACTTCGCCTCCCAAGTAGCGCATGATAAATATATAACACAGAGTAGGAAGTTGGAGCGATTATCTCGGGATAACCGGAATAGTAATATTAATCATCCAGATAATAATGATTTAGATACGATTCATACTTTTTATCCACGCGTTAAAAATTATACGAATACCCAATTTTCCTCTTCGGAGATCTCTTTATTAGAAAAAGGCTTAAAATATAACATCAGACCACGGTTATCCCAGAAATCGCTCGAAACTTTGGTGGTGGATTCAGAAATGGCTTGTGTTAGAAGTAAAGTGGATAGCGCCGTTAAACATCAGGTGGCAGTTCAGATTAAAAAAGTTTCATCTACCTCATTTCCTAAAAATAATTCTGAATTACAAATATATCGGTCATTGCAAACCAAAATTAATCAAGATAATTTAATAATTACAAAAGCCGATAAAGGCAATACTGTAGTCATTTTAGATAAAACTGCTTACCACCAGAAGGTTAACGACGTTATCCAGGGGGAGGATTTCGAACGTCTTAGTTCCGACCCCACCAAAAAATTTACCGTTGAGTTGAAGAATGCTATTAATAACATGTCATGTATTTCTCCAGATCAGTTTAAATATAAAATCCCTATGAACCCGCGTTCTCCTTTTTTGTATGGCTTACCCAAAACTCATAAAGATAACATCCCAATTCGCCCCGTTGTCTCTTACATTGGTGCCCCAACATACGATGTGGCTAAACATCTCAATAACTTATTAAAAATTAAGTCTTCTTTTTCACCAAAATATAGCTTAAAAAATAGTTTAAATTTAATTGAAAAAATAAAAAATGTCAACATTCCTCCCAATTCAAAATTATTATCATTGGATGTTGACAGTTTATTTACAAATATTCCATTTGAAGAGTGCCTTCGTATTTTGGGGAACCATTTGGAGAGACAACGTTTACACCCTGGAGAAATGCATGACCTTCTTGACCTCACACGTATTTGCATGCAACAAAATTATTTTTGTTTTAATAGTGAATATTTTCGCCAAAAGGAGGGGTTAGCAATGGGATCACCATTGAGTCCTCTAATGGCGGAAGTATTTATGGACTACTTTGAATGTAAATATGTGGTGGGCGAGCCCAACATTCTGTTTTATTATAGATACGTAGACGACATAATTATCTGTTGGACGGGTACTATTCGTCAATTAAATATTTTTGTTAATAAACTTAACACTTTCCACCCCAAAATTAAATTCAAATTAGAATTGGAGTCCAACCAATCCCTCAATTTTCTCGATTTAACAATCACTAGAGTTAATAACAAACTCGATTTCCAAATTTACCGTAAACCCACTCATACCGACACAACAATTCCCGCTTCTTCTTGTCACCCATCACAACACAAACTAGCAGCCTTCCGCAGCTATGTCCATCGCTTAATGTCAGTCCCACTTTCCACAGATAATTATGTCAAAGAACTTAAAATATTATATCAAATCGCGATTTCAAACGGGTATTCAAAACAAGTCATCGATAATATTATTCAGAAAAAACAGAATGACAGGGCTCGCTCACTACTTTATGCATGTACCCCCGAACGAATTAACAAGTATGTCGGTAGTCTGTCTTACATAGGCCCCATTTCTGATAAAATCGCGAATATTCTTAAAAAACACAATGTTTTCGTTACTTTTCGATCAGATCACAACTTACGTAATCTTTGTAACGGTAAAGATAAATTACAAAATTCAAAAAAATCCGGTATTTACAAATTAATTTGCAACGAATGTAACGGGGTCTATGTGGGTCAGACAGGCCGTAATTTTGAGGTTAGATTTAAGGAGCATATTGCCGCTTACAGGAATGGCCATCCAGACAAGTCACATTTCGCTAAACATTTAATTAACACCGGCCATTCCTTGAGCGACAATAACACGTATACTATTCTGCATGTCTGTGATAAAAATTTCCGGTTGTGTGTGTTGGAGCAGTTAGAAATCTCCAAACATAATAATAATAGTAATTTTACACTGTTGAATGAGCAAACAAACTTAATTACATCCCCTCTTTTAAGTGTGATTACAGGTAAATCATAGTCGATGCAGGCGTCACAATGACGTTTGTGTCGATTGTATCGATTGTGTAATCGATACAAAGACGTTTGTATCGATTATGTGTCATCACGACACTATATAAGAGGCGAGAGCTGTCGTACTAGCTCATTCGCAGCCGAGCGCTCGTCGAGTCAACATCTCCTGAGGATGCCCTGTGGAGGGGCGAAACACGTGTCGAGTATAGGTTTGATTGCGTGGCATGTTTTTCCGTTTTGTGTATGTGTGCATATGCATGTGGGCGGGAGGGTGGGACCCTTGCTGCATGTGCATATGCATGATTGCATAGGAGTGGGATTGCATCCTGCAACAAGCCTGGATTTTTGTCGCGGAATTAAAACTAAATATTTTCCCTAACATTTAATTTCCGTTATTGTCAGAAGAATAAAAGACACACATGTTCTGGTTTTC